GGAGCACTGGGTGTTATGCACAAACAATGAATCATGGAACACTACATCAAAAACTAATGATGTAATGTATGGTGATAAACATAACAATAAAAAATTATTAAAAAAAAAGAAATGCACGAGGCACAATGAGATACCACCTTACACCAGTTAGAATGGCAGAAATTAACAAGACAGGAAACAACAAGTGTTGGTGAGGATGTGGAGAAAGGGGAACCCTCTTACACTGTTGGTGGGAATGCAAGCTGGTACTTTGGAAAACAGTATGGAGGTTCCTCAAGACGTTAAAAATAGAGCTACCCTATGACCCAGCAATTGTACTACTAGGTATTTACCCCAAAGATATAGATATAGTGAAAAGAAGGGGTACATGCACCCCAATGTTCATAGCAGCAATGTCCACAATAGCCAAACTGTGGAAAGAGCCAAGATGCCCTTCAACAGATGAATGAATAAAGATGTGGTTTATATATACAATGGAATATTACTCAGCCATCACAAAGGATGAATACCCACCATTTGCTTCGACATGGGGGGAACTGGAGGGGATTATGCTAAGTGAAATAAGTCAACCAGAGAAAGACAATTATATGGTTTCACTCATATGTAGAACATAAGGAATAGCATGGAGGACCATAGGGGAAGGGAGGGAAAACTGAATGGGAAGAAATCAGAGAGGGAGACAAACCATGAGAGACTCTGGACTCTGGGAAACAAACTGAGGGTTTCAGAGGGGAGGGGGTTAGGGGGATGGGGTAGCCAGGTGATGGGTATTAAGGAGGGCACATGTTGTGATGAGCACTGGATATTATATGCAACTAATGAATCATTGAACACTACAACAAAAACTAATGATAGTAGCTAACTGAACATGATAATAAAAAAAAGAAATGCATGAAGTTTGGGGTGCCTGGGTGGCTCAGTCGGTTAAGCGCCTGCCTTCGGTCTGGTCATGGTCCCACGGTTACGGGATGAAGCCCTGAGTGGGGCTCCTTGCTCAGTGGGGGCATCTGCTTCTCCCTCTGCCCCTCCTGCTGCTCATGCTCTCTCTCTCAAATAAATAAATAAAATCTTTAAAAAAAAAGAAATGAGTGAATTTCAAGAAGATCATCAATAATGGCTTTGTGATAAGCCAGTGGTTCAAGACCAGTCTTTTTCATACATCCAGACAGTTCATGTGGGCACAGATACAGCTCTATTTCTAGCTTCAGTTTTAAAAGTTTGAAAGATATTTGCTTATCCATATCTTTTAATTTACCAACTCCTTTTCCCACAAATTTGGGTGTAGTCATATGCCTAGTTTTGGCCAAAGGATTATAAGCAAGGTGGTAAGTGTCACTTCCAGGCTGATGTTCCCCTGTTCTCTGCCACAGGGATCGTGGAGTCTAAAGTAGCCTGAATCACTGCTCCTATGGAGGATAGCTGTGTAAAGAGTTATCTGATTTGTATTAGACTTGGTGTGAGCAAGAAATAAAACTTGGTTCTATTAAGCCATAGAGAGTTTCAGGGTTTATTTGTTATGGTGGCATAACTTTGCTTATCCTGACTAATCCAGGGCCTTGGAAGACATTAGTCTTACCTCACTTCCATTATAAGACTCTTTCCTACAGCATCCCAGAGTTGTGGTCCAAATACTTCTCATCTGAGAACTAAGCACCTCAATAATAGTAGCAAATAACGGTAGCAAGCAATTATATGATGCTTACTAAATAATTGTTTTCAGACACAATTTTAAGTGTTTTATGTATCTTAATTTACCTAATTCTCACAAAAGCATGAGCTCATCAATATTATTTTCCTCATTTTATAGCTGGATGAACCGAAGCACCGAGAAGTCACTTGCTCAGAGTTGAACAGACAAGTTAAATCACTTGCCTATGGTCACAGAGCTAGTAAACAGGATTCCAGTTTACTTTCAGTTTCTGCCCTTAACCATTGCACCACATGGCCTTCCTAGATTGGATTTTTATTTCCTTTTCACACAAACTATTCAACAAGGGACAGAATCATAAAACTCCAAAGACAAGGTTGGAAGAGGCTTTGGAGAACCATCAATTACTGTGTTTTACATGGAGGAAAAAAATCACTCTGCAAGCCATTTTCCTGCTTTAGTGAACAGGAAAGGTCTCTCTCAGGGGTTTTCAAACCAGTGTCCTGGGGGGCAGTAGGACTCAGGAGAAAGGCCTGAGGGGCTGTCAATACGGAGGTAGGTGTACACACTACTTCATCCAGCCCAGCCCTGTTCTAATCTGTCTCATATAGTAGACTTCTGGGTAAAATTTATATGTGAGTAAAGTATTCTGCTGCTTTAATAAAATTGGGAAATGGATCTCCCCATGCTTCTACTGAAATAGTAGGCTTGGAAGATGGCAGTAAAAAGTGGAGGGCTTCCCACTAGTTGGGAGGTGGGGTGGAACACATGGATTCCATGGCCCAGTGACCAGTCCTGGGGCTGGGAGAATTTACTACTTCCATGAATGCACTCACGAGATTGCCTGGAGGCAAGCACTGCCTTATTCATCATTGTATCCCCACTGTGATATGTAGTAGAAGCCCTATAAACTATATCTAAAAGATAGGAGGCTAGTTCCAAACGGCTTTGCTGAAACAATTTTTCAAAAAGATTAAGCTCATCTGGGTTGAGCAAAGTAGCGCATCAATGTAAAAAAAAAAAAAATGGAAGTGGAAATGGAAAGTTATTGGGTGTGTTTTGTCCTTATATCCTCAAATGGGCAGTGGTGGCCAATCCCTCCCCAACCCCTACTTTGTTCCCAGGGAAACACAAGTGATGGTCCCAAGCAAGCACAGCAAACACATACAACTGTTTGCTTCATTTTAACACAACTGATTTTACAAAATTATCCAGATTTGCTGATCACATTAAGAAGTGAATTAGAAATTTTTCTTTGCTTTAAAGAAAAACATTTCTTTGTGTTGTGTGTTGGCAGCACTTTTAGTACATTTTTGTACTATGTATGATTATATATCATGTACAAATTGGGTTTGTACAAATTGATTTACAAATTGGGTTATATTAAGACAAAGGTGTGTATCTGAGAAGGGGGCAGATTGATGAGGCAGAAGGAAGGTAGAGAGAAGTCTAAGAAAGGATTTATGGGAGTTGTCCCCCTGCAGACCCTCTTACCTTGCGTGGTACCATCCAGTCCCATGATAAATTTCATTGATCTGATGATTTGCTCAGCTACTGGAGGGCTCATGGATGTAGCATAAACAGCACTATGTGAGTGAACTCTTAAATAATCCACAAGGTCCTTTAATAAAAGAGGAAACCATAAAAGAAAGCAAATAAGTCTTAGTGTTGGTGGTGAGAATTACCAATTTAGTCCCCTCTCCATCCACCATAGCACATTTGATTCTCGAATGTGGTCTGATTTTCAAGGGGCATCCCCAAACTGTTTATTTTTTCTATCTCTTCTTCTTAGTCTCTCCCTTAAAAACCTATAAGGTATAGAAAAGTGGGATGCTGAGAATTTGGAGTTGAGGCCTGTAAGGCAAAACCATATGTATGACGGAAAAATGATTTCCCAAACGTTTGTTGAATACCTAGCATGCACAAGCATTGGCTTAGTATTTAGGAGTATCCAGGAATACAGGATGTGGTTCTTGCCCTTGAGAATATAACATTAGATTGTGCCTATGGAAAATTAATGGGAGGAAAAGTAACAGGATACGCAGACCAGTATATGCAAAAGGGCTATAAGACTGCGGAGGAAAGAGAGGAGTATTCCTAGTGAGCAGACAGGGAAGGCTTCAGTGAGGAAGTGGAATTCTCTTGAAGAATGAAGACAGATAAGGAGGAAAAGAAAACTTGGGGTGGAGGTAGGGAGTGGCAGAAGGGAGAGGTGGGAAATTAAACCAAAGTGTAGGTTAGGACCCGATAAACTTTGGTTATGCCTTGGACAGTAGAGAACTATTGGAACTTTTGTGCACCACTATTTGGGGTGCTGACTCACTGCAGTCTGCTGGTCTTCAGTGGTAGGAATGATTCTTCACTTGTATGCCTGACTCCCAAGGCCAAATATAAGGTGCCAGGTAAGCCCACTGAAAGCCTTAAGACATTCTAATAACCCAATGCCACAGTGGGGAGGGCTGCACTGGAGGTGCTCAGCCATCTATTGGCTGACCAGACCATCTATTGGCCCCCGTGTTTTGGCTCATGGCTTGGGACCCTCAGGATGCTCTGCAGAAAAGCTAATGGGCTAATGATAGCTCTCTGAATTAGCAGTGAGTCTATAAAGGATCAGCCACCTTTTCTTCAAGAATGAGGAGACAATTTAGAATCCCTCTGAGGTGTCTTCTCCGATCATTCCATAGTAAAGGTGATTGGGAGGCTTTGGGTAGGCCCATCTCCTCCTAAACCCCCTTCATTGGCTACCTTCAAGCTTGGGACTGTGCCCACCCTTCACTTTTCCTTGTCTCTTGGGGAATGGATGGCATAGTTGTTCACAAGCATTTTAAACATTCTTAGCTCATCTTCCTCAGTAAAGTGAAAGGCCTGTCTCACAGGTGGTTGGTGATGTGATGCATCTACCTGGCCCATGGGGGGACCTGGCAGCTCCATTCTGTCCCTTCTGCCTCCTTCAATGTGACCTTCATTCTAAATTCCCCCTTCCATGCATCCTTCTTCCCCAATTTCCTTTCTCCCTATTGTCCTTCATTTCATACTCTTCATTTCTTTTTTTCTTCTACCCTGATTTCCTCGTTCCCTCTTTTGTTTCAAATTTTTCATTTAAATCTTTTTTTTCTCTCCATTCCTAAGTATTTCCTGTTCCCTTCCCCTTTCCTTCCCTTCCCCTCCCCTCCTTCCCTTCCTTATCCTTTCCTTTTTCTCTTCTCTCCCTCCTCCTGGGCCTTCTTCCCAGCTTTCATTTTTCCTCCCAGCATGTTCGTGCAAGGACTTGCTCCAGGCTCCATTCTAATGTGGAAGTCTATGAAGAGAAGGAGGATGGAAAGGCTAGTCCTTGGCAGCCATCATCCACTTACATTAAAATTAAAATTAAGTTTCTATCTATTCTTTTGTTTAGTGAATCTCATACAAGTAGTTGGGTAGGTTTTCACTATATTGGAAGAATATGTGCATGATGATGGCCTGACTTAAGGCACTGGTCACACAGTATTTGGAAAGTTCACTCTGGAGGATGGGGGAGGGAGGAGCACCTAAAGAGAGAGAGGCATTTTTCAGAGTAGCTACAGCCAGGCTGTTCACAGCTCTATGTTGAGGGCTGCTCCATGAGCAGCAACAAGGGTTTTCTTTGTTTGTTGAGAGTTGGTACCTCCTGACAATGCTGGGGAAGCCAAGTGGGAGAGAGTGGGTGGGACACAGGCAACAGTATAATGGGGGCTAATGTGGACAGGGCTGGAAAAGGCCTGTTTCAAGGAGATGATCTGGACTTGAAGGATGGGTGGATTTGGGCAGATGCAGAGGAAGGGGGAGGCATGGACCTGTTCTAAGATTAGGAATGAGGACAGCATCTTATCATCAAAGAATGGAGGTGTCAGTTGGGAACAGAGGGAGAAACTATTGCCTCCAAGACAGGGTTATCCCCATGAAGGGAAGTGTGACCGAGAATATACAGGACAAGCTCTGGAACTGGACTGCTTGGGTTCAAATCCTGGTTCTCCCACTTACTGATATGTGACCACTGGCAAGTTACTAAACCTCTCTGTGCTCTACTTTTCTTCTCTGAAAGGTGGGATAATGGTAATACTAACTTCAGGGTCATTATGAAAATTCAATGTTTATATATATATATATATACACACATATATACACACACACACACACACACACACACACATATATATATATAGTGTGTCTAGAAAAGTGTCTGGTATATAGTGAACACCCAATGAGATTGGCAGTCATTGTTAATGGATTGTCAATTCGGAGATTCTTAGAGCTGGGAGCATGGGTTAGGACCAAAATACAAAAACTCCTCCAAGTGTCTCTATCCCAGCCTCTTCATTTGGCAGAGAGTGATGTTCTAAGGTTAGGGAACTACACATTGGTACCCCCAGGGAGCAAACCAAAAGTTTTCAGCCCAGCTCTTCCTCCATCCTTACTGGGGTCGTAAAGGTAGGAGGGGAAATAAAAGGAAAGAGAAGCATTTTAAAGAAAAGAGGACCCAGACTTGATGACAGTTGGCATGGCCCCGAAAACATAATAGGGCTCGAAGTTAACACCACAGTTGATATTCCTTGGCCACTAGAGGCTCCATTTTAAGAACTTTACATGGATTAACTTATTTTACCTTCCCAATCACTCTGAGGTAGGTACTATTTTTATCTCCCTTTTATAGTTGGGATGACTGAGTCACAGAACAGATCAGAAAATTATCCAACCAAAACATGATTGGATAATAAGGATTTGGACCCAAAGAGCATGACTCTGGAGTCCCTACCCTTAGCACCACACTATATATAATTCTGCTCCAGACCAGAGAGCTGGCTTGCCACGTGGTGAGGGGGGCAGGCTAGCCCAGAGCTGAACTCCTTCATTTCCACTTCACTTGTGGTGCTTTCCCTAGTTCACAGATTGCTCATTTTTTTTGGCGGGGGGAGGAGGGGTGAATCCCCAATATACTCAATTGTTAACAGTACTAAACTACAGACTGAATTGCATCAGTCTCAAAATGCTTTGGGGCTATTGCTCTTACTTCTCCAAAGTGAGTGAGACCCCCTTGAGAGCAGGGATGGCGTTACACACTCTAAAATCCACAGCGGTGGGTACCCAGCAGGGGCCTGATAAATACTGGTGATCTAAAGAAAAGCAGAAGGGTTTTAGGGACTGAGGAAGGATGGTGAGGGTCCCCGAAGTATATAGGGAACTACTAAGCTGCATTCTTAGGAACAAGTATAGAAATATTCTCTTAGTCTTGGGCATCAGTGGCGAAGATCAGACAAAGAAACCAAACAAAGCTTCTTTGGGTTCCTCAAGGGTTCTTGTCAATGTCCCCAACCCGTAATTTTCCTTTCCAAATTGGGAAATTTCATAAAGCCAAGGTTGTTTGCATTCTTAGTTTGAATAAATGCCTCATCAGTGCAGTTATCATTCCCTTTTAACATTAAGACTATGTTGCCCACAATCTTATTTCTTTTAGACTGGGTCCCCTTCCTCTGAGGGTCTGAGTTTGTGGACTCATCTAATTTTCTTGCGTGCTTCAGAAAGTGGGACTCCTTAGGTAACTTCTGCAGAGCATCAAGGGAGGTCTTGATGCCCTGTTTCTGATTCCCTCCTCGCATTCTGCCATTGGGCACCGGGAGCCATGAATTAGGAGTTGGCTTTGGTCTCTTCGAGGAAAGTCTGGGTTATGTCTTCCTTCAGAGTGGGTTAGATGTCTCCTCATACCGAGGTTTCCAAGTCCATTTCTAAGTTCAAAACCCTGATTATTTTCTCTATCCATAGGGCTGGAGTTCAAGGGCAAGGGTGGTTTGCTGAGGAAATCAGACAGGAGGCTCTTAGAATAAACATCTTGGTGTTCATACCGTGACCCCCATTTACTTCAAAGGGCTGTTAAATGCAGCCTGGGGCTGAGCACACAGGGCAGAGCTGGCTCCTGCCAGGGGCCTGCCTTTGTCTGGCGCCCAGGCTTCTGGGGCTAATGCTCACCCCAAACTTGGCTGCCCTGTCTGACTTCCCTCCTCCGGAATTCCAGCCCTGCGACCTGTCAGTCATGAAGGCTACCTTTGCTTCACTCATTTGCAGGTCTCTGCTCAGCCTGAGGAGGCTATGAAAGCCAGTGGTTAAGAGCAGACATACAAGGGTACTCAGGACACATGCCCGAGAAAGACTTGGACTCCCCAAAGCAGGTTCTTTAGTGTTGACCACACCTTCTCAGCAACTGGACTGACACAAAGTAAAAAATAAACATAAACCTAGTTTCATCAGCTCAGGTATCCTTCAAAGAAGCCATTCATGGCATGGAACTCCGAGAGGAGGAGACAAGTAATTATCTCTGACATTTCACCTCAAAGGTCTTGAATAGACAGAATGTTCCAAGTTGGGTTGTTCACAGATCATCTACAGTAGCTCCAAACTCAAAGTGAATAAAATAGCAAAATCTTGCTGGCTCTGGAGAGACCATTTTGTCAGTTTCCCTAAGGAGGGGAGAGAAGGTTGAGGCTGGGGCAGTAAATTCCAACAAGCAGAGATGAATTTATCGGACATTCTGTGACAGCCAGCCTGAGGCCAAGACAAAATCTCTACTCTCTGTGGTACTATCTTAGTAAATCAATTTTTTTCTCCCCTTGTTTGTTTTCAAACACTTTTGCTTTCGTGACAGATCTGGTCGCTAATGTACACGTTCCTGACCTTGACCAGCTCCAGAAAGACTTCTAGAGCCTCCTAGAAACTGTTACTAGGAATATAGTCCCTCTATTACTAACCCTAACATTGACATTTAAAAAGAGAGCCAGACAGTTTTATCTTTGTCTAGATTTTTTGACCCAAGTAATTATTTTCAAATCTCAAGAAAGATCCCCATGAACATAGTAAAATTGAAATTATTAGGGTTTCAGAAAAATGTAAAGTCCTAGTGAGTGTGCTTTAACATTTTTATGGTTCATTTTGTTGCTTTTGTACCCACTGTTAGAATCCTGGATGTTTTGCTGTTACTCCCCCCCACCCCCCCAATTGAGGTATACACTCCAAAATATCCAGGAAAAAATATGATGAAACTCTATAACAACTTTACTCTAATTATTTAATAGCTAAATATAAAGATTTCTTTCAAATTAAAACTGTTAGCATTTGTCCAATCCTCTGTCCTTTTAGTTAAAAAACAGTTTAAAACAAACTCTACATGAAAATTTTTTGCAAAAATAATTCAAAATCCAGGGGAATAAAAACTATGATTTAAAGGGAAACTACACATAATTTAAAATTAACATAACTTAAAAAATGGAAGGTACAGACGAGCAGATGCAAAAATTCCATTAACTCTTGGGCTTCTCAGGTTGGAAGGAAACCAGTTTATCTGGGTTTGCCACAGACTCATCAAAACCATTCCAGACAGGTGTGTATTTGACTGATTTTGAAATCATCAGGGAACGACGCATATAAACGCTTTTCACAAGTGTCCTCCAGTCTCTTGCTCACCCTCCACGTCTTGAAAACTGCCCTGTGTTTTCTAGGTTTTGCATCTTGTTTTAGGGCAGTTAAGTCTCGGAATAGGCTAAGGGACCTCTGCCAAAGACTCTCTAATTCTTGCTGCCATCTAGTGGTAAATTCAGAGACTGCAGTGTAGTATGGAGGGGGAGGAGAATGACAGAGGCTCTGGAAAGGGAACGGGAGGTGGGGGGCAGGGATGATGCAGTTCTCCGGGTCCAAGCATGCAGAGAATGAATATTTTAAAGAGCAAGGAAATGAACAGATCTACACATTTTTCTGCATTGCGACTAATGTAAATAATAACTTTCCATGATTTCCCAGTATCTATCCCAAATGAATACAAGTTACATAGACAAGACACTTTTAAAATAGTCCCACTGGCTTGAGGACAGAGAGTAGGAGAAACCAGAGTGAGCTGGTCCTAACTTCAGGCCAGTCACGCGCTTTTGTTTAAAGTGGGTATCTGATGAAGGAACTCCAAGGGGAAAATGTGACATCTACCAAATTTGACAACATTTCAAGGATCTGCTCACTTCAGTTTATTCAGGTGCCCTTGGTTCAGGAAACAGAGTTACGCTTGGTTAAAAAATTTGTAGCTCAGAACTGCTGCTAAAGTAATCACAAAACCACAAGCTCACAAAGCAATGTAGCCTGGATAAGGGACCTCCTGAATTTGAGACCCTCTGATCCCTCTGCTTCCACAGTTGGGGAAGGGAACATTTAACCTTTCACCAGATTTAGCTAAATGTTGTAGGATCCTAAGCATTCCCGATGTTTTCAGCATTACCAAGCTAATTCCCACAGGCCAGTGGAGGGAGGATGGAAAACAGTGCTTCGGGCTCAGAAGAAAGTAATGCTTGTTGAAGGGTCAAGACCATTGAAAACCCTGAACATTTTAAGCATTTGTTCATCTCATGGTCACAGTGAAATCTGTTATTTTAAATCATAGGCTTTCAATGGCCAGACTGTCTTCTGCTGAAATCCCTGATTTGTCTAACTGGTTTATCAGGAGTCTGAACTCTTGTTCCTGCTGGTGACAATGAGTAAGGAATTGGGAATTTTGGATAAGCTGTGGATGCCACCTGCATGCACTGGTTTTGGGCCTGGTGTGCCTCCTTGGTTGGAGCCAACATCACTGTCACAAGTCACTTTGGGACAAGTGTAGGCTTCTGTGAGGTAGCTATCAGGATTTGCATACAGGCAGACTACTAGCTTCTTTATCCCTCAAATCCAGGTTGAATTTTTCATTTTCTCTTTCTCCCTGGACCCTCTCTCCTCTCTTTAATTTCTTTTAAACATTTATTGGTTTATACTGGCAACCCCCTTGGTGATATTGGCTTAAAATTACAGGGATAACACTCCATAGTCTGATCTCATCGGATCCGAATTTTAAGTCATGTAGATAAGACATGAGAGGGGCATCTGGCTGGCTCAGTTGGTTCAGCATGCGATTCTTGATCTCGGGGTCATGAGTTTGAGCCCCACACTGGGGGATAAAGATTACTTAAAATAAATAAATAAATAAAATCTTTAAAAAAAGATATTAGAGGGTGACACAATTTGACCTATGGCTTATCCAAAATTTGGGAGAGAATTATTTTGCACAGAAAATCTCTTAGAAGGGCATTTCAGATCTTGCTACAATTTTGATTAAAACTCTTAAAATCCAGAATTTGTTGCACAGGGTCAACCTCATTAATATCTGACCTTTGCCCACTGTTGCTGTTACCTACTTTATGTTTTTCATGCCACAAAACCCAAACTACTTACAGCTCTGTAACATCCCCTTATCATTTCTGTGGTTTGGTATATATTATTCCCTCTTTTTGAAATATACCCTCCCCCCATCATTTGTCTACAAGGATGATATTTATTCTGAGACTCCTTAGATACTACCCTGCAGAGTTAACCATCCCCCTCCTTGTATTAAGTCTTTGCCTAGGTACACTGCTGGTGTCATTTTATTATAATGTGATTATACATCACATGCTCTTCTTCACCAGTAGAGGGAGAGTTACTTGCCATTCTGGGCCTATGTGGCCGTGGACCCACACTGTATCCAGGCTGCCATGATCTACTGAGGTGGGCTGAACTGAGCTGAAGCTCTCAAGGAATCCACAGAAACCCTGCGGACTGTGTCCCCAGAGCATTCAGGTTTTAAATAGACACAGGGAGTCCCTGGCTTACCTTCCTTCCAGCTATGTAACCTCCTGCAGCTCCAAAACTTTTGGTGAATGTGCCCATAAGCACATCAACATCTCGAGGGTCCAGTCCAAAGAATTCTACAACACCCCGGCCGGTTGGGCCCACGGACCCAATACTGTGAGCTTCATCTATGTAGAGGTAAGCCTTGTACTTCTTCTTTAGAGCCACGATCTGGGGCAGATCCACGATGGAACCTTCCATGCTAGGGCATAAGGAGAAATGCTTGTCACTTGTGTATACTTTCCTGGGAAGCCCTGTGATGGTCTCCCTTCCAATCCTTCTCAGACAGCCTTTCCTGACCCCAGTCAGTGGTGACAGGGACATACAATTCCTTTTTTGTTAAAGCATATTTTTAGTTGGCTAAGACAACCTTCTCAATCTTGTAAAGCTAATCTGGCATCATTTTACTTGAAAAAAAATAATTTACGTTCAATAGATTGAAGTGCTTTGAGTTGTTATAGCTAATTCCCAAGCAAACAATTAGCTTACAGCATTGTTGATCAATTTATTTGTAAAATCAGCTAGTGTAACTAGACTGACCATTTTGGATTCTAGGTATTTTGCTAGTTTTAATAAATTGATCTATGGTAATCTATCTTTGTCAGCTTGCTGCTGTCTATTTGACCAGTTCTATCTGACCTAGACTCAGTGCTTGAATTGCCAAAGAGTAAAGGAAAGAATTAAAAACACACAAAAGAACTTTGCTTAAGACACGTAGTATTAAAGAAAGCACAACAGAAAGTTCTTAGGATCTCCTGTTCAGTGCTCACTGGAAGTCAAGGGTATTTTGAGGCATCTGGTAGTGTCCTCTCTTTCTGTTCCTTTAGGGCAATGGTTCTCGTTCTTGAAGGAGCATCAGAATCCCCTGGTTTGTTAAAACACAGATTATGATCCCCTCCATCCCTGAGTTTCTGATTTGGCAGGTTTGGAGTGGGCTGAAAATTTGTATTTCTACCAAGCTCCCAGGAGATATCCTACTGCTGGTTAGGGACAACATTTTGAGAACCGCTGCCATAGATGAACCCTTTTGTTTTAGCCCTAAGTGCCTAACTTTTCATAGTATTGTAAATTGCAAAAATACTTCAAGTCCTCCAAAAAACGGAAAAATATAAAGTAAATAAATAAGTAACATTCAAATTTACATGGCACCTTTGGAACTCAATGGATTTAAAAGGACTTTGGCTTTAATCAGTTCTCACAACACTTTGTGGGCTGTGTCTACACCACACACAGTTTTGACTGCACTGACAGGCAAATTCTATGAAAACACACAGACTCTCACCCTCACCACACAAAGGAGCTTGTCAAACAACTCAAGCAACCCTTCAATTTAGTTCAAGAACTAATCAACTGACGCAAACAGAAAGTTGAACTTCTCCCTTCTTCCTAATTAGTTTATTTATTAAATTTAATGTATTATAAAAATAAACATAAGTGTTAGGTCAATTCAGTCAAAACAGTCCAGCTGGTTGTGCAGTTACCCCAGGCCAAGAAGTGTTGGTTTGGAGGGAATAGGATGACCATCAAGGGCAGCATTTGTGCTTGTGTCTTTTTAAGGACTTTATTCTTTAGAGCAGTCACAACAAAACTGAGCAGAAGGTAAAGATTTCCCATTTACTTCCAGCCCCACATACATGTAAACATCCCCCACCAGGGCAGTCCATTTGTTACAAATGAACCTACATGCACACATCATTGTAACCCAAAGTCCATAGTTAACATGAGGACTGCCTCTTGGTGTTGTGCATTCTGTTTGGACAAATGTATGATAACAAGTATCCATCATTATGGTATCTTACATTCTATTTTTTACTGCCTTACAAATCCACTGTGCATTCCTCTCCCCACCCAACCTCTGCAACTACTGATCTTTTCATTGCCTCCATAGTTTTGCCTTTTCCAGAATGCCATATAGTTGGAATCATGCACTATGCAGCCTTTCGGGATTGGTTTCTTTCCACCTAATAATATGCATTTAGGTTTCTTCCATGTCTTTTCATGGCTGAGGGCTCATTTCTTTGTAGTGCTAAATAGCATTCCATTGTCTGGATGTCCCACATTTTACTTATTCATTCACTGACTGAAGGACATTTTGGTTGCTTCCAAGTTTTGGCAATTATGAATATAGATACTATACACATCTGTGTGCAGGGTTTTGTGTGGATACAAGTTTTCAGAAGTATGGGTAAATACCAAGGAGCATGATTGCTGGATTGTATGGTAAGGGTATGTTTAACTTTGTAAGAAACCACCAAACTGTCCTCCAAAGTGGCTCTGCTATTTTGCCTTCCCATCACCAATGTATGAGCCTTCCTGTTGCTGCACATCCTCATCAGTCTTCCAGATTCTGGCCTCCTAACAGGTATGTAGTGGTATCTTAATTGCTTTAATTTACATTTCCCTGATGACATATGGTGTGAAGCATCTTTTCCTATGTGTATTTCCATTTACATATCTTCTTTGGTGGGGTGTCTGCTAAGGTCTTTTCGATCAGGTTGTTTGCTTTCTTACTGTTAAGTTTTAAGAGTTCTTTGTATATTTTAGATAATAGTTCTTTGTCAGGTGTATCTTTTACAAATATTTTCTCCCAGTCTGTGGCTTGTCTTCTCATTTTCTTGGGATGGTCTTCCACAAAGCACAAGTTGTTAATCTTAATGAAGTCCAGCTTATTGCATTTGTGTTTTTCACAAGGTCATTCTGAATGCCTGGTTTCAGATTTTAATGAAATGAAAACCAAATACACTCATCTTCTCATATAAGTCTGAATTAATTCCAGTATTTTTTTAGATTGTTTGTTAACATGGTTTTCATTGAGGGGAGAAGGTATGGCCATCTGACTCAGCTTAGATTGTAGCCACACCACTTACCAACTGAGGACTTGGGCAACTTACATGATGTTCTCTGCCTCAGTTTTCTGAGATGTAAAGTAAGTATGACGATGAAACCCTCCTCATAAGGTCTTTCCATGGAAGCCTAGAAATAATGTTTGTTAAGTGTCTGGCATATAATGAGCACTCATTGGGTTGTTCCTTTTTTTAGGAGGAGCTTAGGAGGAAATGTTTGCAGTGAGGCTTGACTTGAGAAATGGGGAGCCCTTGACAATGCTCTGTGTTGAATCTTCTAGGAAAGAGGCATATGGGTGCCATACATAATAAATGGCTATATGCCTTCAAAATTCTAGGATTTACTTCTCATCTTTAACATGTTATAATTTGGTAACACAACTACGCTGAAAACCTGACATGTCACAAATAACCATTCTTTGTTCTGGAACTGAATTTGGCAGGAGGCAGAGTTAATGCTAAACAGTTTGAAGACACTCAAGGCAGCTAATTAGCCATCCTTTGCTGGGGCTGGTCTAGCTGATGTTAGGAGTCTGCCCACCTGGTTTATATTTCTTCCTCCAAGATTAATGACTCTACAGTACTGCTGATTTCTGGAGTTACTGCAGGGCACACATGAGTCCTAGGGAGAACTCAGCTTTTATAAAGTGTTATATTCACCTGCACTAAGCTTCATTTTCTCAATGTGACCAGATTTGAATTGAACCCTTTCCTATAGTGGGATCTTGAGATTGGTGCATGCATTGAAAACGGTTTCTATGTTGGTCCTTTAAATTGCTGTCAGAAAACACAGTGCCAAAAATGAAAAAGAAAACAAGGACTGTGTTTTATTTTTTTTCTTCCTGAATGGCAAGTTGTGTTTTCTTTGGACTTCAGTAAAAGAAAAACAACTAAAATACAACTGTAGGTAGAGATAATTCCACCACTTAATTTGAAGCTCTGTGCAGGGACTTGAATTAGTCTTAAACCAGCAAGCTGGTGAATAATTTCTTTATATTTTTTCTGTTACATAATGTATTAGCTAAGTGACAAGACTCTTTTTTGAAATTTCCCTCTCATCACCTTCTCCTCCACATATAAAGCAATATTATCCATTAGCAGGATTGGGAATTAAACCACTGGTCTGCCAACTTACATGGTGGAAAAATCTCCTCGGTGGGCCCCAAGTATAATCCAGGGAAGAAAAGAGGGTGAAAAGAGAAAAAGAAGAGAGCTAAGACTAATTAAAAATAAAGTACTTTCTTTTCCTTTTTTTCTCTATTTGTTTAAACCATAGGTTAAAGTTCTCAATCATTAAACTTACACTGTTTTTGGGAGGAGAAGGGCTTACATCCTTAGAGAGAATGGTGTTCTGAGATTTAAATATTTGTTTTCATATGTGTTTTCTGGAAGGGCTGGGTACTCTTTCTCTATACTTATTTTGAAAGTTTGGGCTCCAGTTATGCGACTTTATCTCCCAGGTTATTTGGGACCCCCTGCCTGTCTCTAGTATATTTTTGAATAATTTTGAGATTTCTCAACCACAATGAGTCAACCAACTAAACTTTTCAGAGACACAAAACTGGAAGAGTCTGACTTTAAAACAATACTTAAAAGAAAATGCAGACAAGAACACTATAATAATACGATTGTAGTTTTAAGCCCCAAATCAGGAACTCATGGAACTTTAGATCTCAAGTTTCACTCTCCCTATTTTACAGATGAAGAAACTGAGCCCTGGATAGGTAAATGGTGAAGGTCACATGGAGGACTTTACATTTTCCATGTTTACTTCATCGGATGGGAACACACGGGTGGACTCTTCTGTTGATACTGGGCCTCTGTCCCAGCAGGGCTACCTGGTTTGGATCCTGGCTCTATTTCACCTCAGTTATCTGTCCTAGGTCAAGGGTCTTCATCTTCACAGTAATCTCAAAGGTACTGGGGAGGTTTACTCAAGATCACACGTGTGAAGCGAGGAGTAGACACCGAGTAAATAAATGCAAGCTCCTTTCCCTGACATCCATCCTTCAGCTGGGTGAAGAGAAAACAGCTTCACTATGCAGAGAACTTACTGTTTTCCATGCTGCCATTTCCTCAACTGAAAAGAAATTTAATGATGAGGACAGCTGCCCTTGGTTGTGGGCTTACCACAGGCTGGGCTTCTGTCAAGAACGAGGTTCTATGATCTTATTTAATACTTACAAAAGAACTCTATGAAGAGCACAGAACCATAGGTGACAACACTGGGATTTGAACCCAGATCCCAGGCCTCCCTCCAGATCTTGGCTTCTCCATATTATCTATATATATAATGAGACCTAGATGGTTTATGGATGGTGACATTACTATTGTTATTATTTTTGGTATAATTATCATTATCATAACTGCTTTTGTGGAGTTTATGGATTTCTTAGACTTGGTATCTGGCTTTTTCTACCTTGATACCTGTCTGAAACTGCTGGATTTGGTTGACTGCTTTTTTTAGGAATTATGAAAAAATTGATTTCTGGGGCATTTGTGGTGGTGGTGGTGGTGGTGGTGGGGACTTTGCCCATGGTGGCAAACCACAGCAATAGATTAAAAAAAATATCTGGGAGTGAAAATTCAAAGAAGGTTTTGTGTTGATGTCAACAAGGTATGTGTCCATAACACATTACTAAAAAGTAGAAGTGCATTCGTGAACTGTTGATTTCACATTCCTAACCCTAGCCCTTTGGAAAATTTTGTGGGAAATAATTTCATTTTTTGGTGATAGCAGCAAATGAGAACATCCACTATGTTTCAGAACTCTAGTCTCGGTTAGCCTTATTTTACAGATGAAGAAACTGAGGCCCCAGGAAGTACTGAGGTTTGTCTAAGAGGTGCCCTGCTTCCTAGCTATGAATGGGCCCTTTGAGGTCACAGTTTCATGTAAAGACAAGAGGGGCGCCTGGGCAGCTCAGTCGTTAAGCATGTGCCTTCAGCTCAGGTCATGATCTCAGGGTCCTGGGATCAAGCCCCGCATCCAGCTCCCTGCTTCTCCCTCTCCCATTTCCCCTGTTTGTGTTCCTGCTCTTGCTATCTCTCTCTGTCAAGTAAATAAATAAAATCTTAAAAAAAAAGACAAGATTCTGTGCAGATGAGATAAAATAAATCTCTCTATGAAGGGAAGTCCATGGCAAGTGGAGGTTTCATTGTACAAATAAATGCCAGGCTGATTGAACCACTGTGGTAGATTGCCTCCAAAGATGGCTGCCTGCAAGTCTTCCCATCCCTCTACACACAAGTCAATCCTCCCATCAAGAGGTGGGTTCTATTTCCCTTCCCCTTGAATCTGGGCTGGGCTTTTGCCATACTTTGACCAGTAGAGTATGGCAGAAGGGATGCTAGACCAGTTCTGGGCCCTGCCCTTAAAAGACTGGTAGCTTCTGCTCTTATTTTCTCAGAAGACGGCACCATGTTGTAAGGAAGTTCTGGCTTGATTGCTGAGTGAGAAGAGCCTATAGACCGAGCACCCCAGAGAAGAGAAGGGAACAAGGTACTTCAGCTAACAACTAGTACTGAGTGAGGTCATTTTAGATGTTCCAGATCCCAGCTGGACTCCCAGGGGAATGACCCCAGCCAACACCATAGGGAGCAGAAGAACTGCCCAGTGGGTCCAGGCAACCCACGGTGGTGTGGGAAATGATAACTTATTGCAGTGTAAGCCGTTATGCTTTGGGTGGTTTGTTACACAGTATCAGATAACAGAACAGGCCCCCATTGCTAGTGAGGCCGAGGCTGTGGTTTGGTGTCATGCAGGCTTGGAGGCAGAAGTCCACACCTGGCTCTGCTGTCCTCCTGAGATCATGGTAGGACACAGGCCCAGCCATTAACAAGCCCTGCTGCTGGAGTGGGTTCTCTGTGTAACTGATGGGAACAGTTGACAGTAAAATGCTGGTGGTCCCCTTAATTTCAGCCACGATCAAAGTACTTCAAACACAACTTTCCTTTAGTGGAGCCAAGTTTTGTTTATTTGCAGTTGGATTCTGTCGACTCTGGTTAAAGAAGATGCCCAGTCTGCCCTCCCTCAGCTGATCCATGCTCTTGCAAGTCCAGGCCTGAATGACAGGTGTTTAGATAAGAGCTCCCTTCCCCACCTGGCAGCTGGCACAGATCACATAGAGAGAAAGACCTGGCTTTGAGGTTATGACAGCCGAGTCAATATGAGATTATTTCTGAAAATTAGCAAGTTCAAGGCTCCTGAGTAAATTATTCATTAAATTGAATTATTAATTGAATGATGCCACAGCAGGGTCTTTCAATCTCGGCACTGTTGACATTTTGAGCAGGTTGATTCTCTGTTGTAGGGGCCTGTCCTGTGCATTGTAGGATGCTTAGCAGCATCCCTAGCCTCTGCCCACTAGACACCAGTAGTACTCTATTACAGTTGTGACAACTGAAAATTGCCCAAAGTGTCCAGGATAGGGGTGGGTTGTGGGAGGGAATCACCTTGGTTGAGAACGTGGTTCTAGGGTGATCCCAAAGACTTCATAAATAAAACACTGTCTGGGGGCTGACCCGAGGAGGTACTGATGGGTGATACATAAAGTGGGCCACTAGAAACTTGAAATGCCAGCTTTGTAACTCTATAGTAGCCCTGGGGACACCCAGAACACCAGGCACTGGGGCAGTAAGGCCGAGGGAAAAACAAGATGGTACCTGGCTTATTATTATTATCATTATTATTATTTTAAATTGAGGAGAAAGCACTTCTTTTTCCCAAAAGGAATGGAGACATGTTTCTTCTGTTGCTTGTTATCCATTCATGGAACAAAAACGATGTGCACTCTGGCTGAATGAAAAGCTCTGTCAGATCTAAATCTCCTTTGCAAGCACACTTCTCCTTGTGGGGAAGTTAGGCTCTCATTCCCTTCCATTTAATATTGTTTGCTTTTCTATAATTATAAGAAACATCTCCCTCAATTCTTTGAACATGAAGATTGTTTGAGAACTGATTTAAGGAGGGAGCACTCTGACATTATGTTTCCTTGACTCAGGGACTAGGGCATTCGACAGAAGAACGACTTGGAGGCAATTTCTGTTTCAGCAGCGATAACCAATTCAGACAGAGAATGAAGCCAATTCCATCACAACGTGCCTTGTAAAATCTCTCAGTGGCTTAGTGGGTGTTTTGTCTGCTCGGCTTCAGAGCGGTGGGAAACCGAGCATACCTTCAGATGCTAAGTCCAGCCACTCCCAGCTCTGGATCAAGAATTGCACTTGAGGTTAGTCTTAACTTTGTGGAAAATGTGCTGGCTTTTTGTATTCTAATGCCGACAGTTGGTCAGGTTCAGCAAGCAACTGGAGTTTGGGTGCACTCTCCAGTTAGAAGCATCTGGGTGCCTATCAGCAATGCCATGAAGGCAAGAAGCATTCCTTTCTTTTTTGAGAGCAAAAGCATGAGTGGGGGGCTGGGGAAGGGCAGAGAGAGGGGGAGAGAAGAGAATCTTAAGCAGGCTCCTCGCTCAGCGTGGAGCCCGATGAGGGGCTCGATCTTGTGACCCTGAGATCATGACCTGAGCAGAAATCAAGAATCCAGTGCTTCACCACCTGAGCCATCCAGGCTCCCCAGGCAAGAAGCATTCTGATGTTGAATAACCCAGCCCCCATAGGCCTTTGAAACTGTGGGGCAGCCAATGGTAGTGGAAAGAATCAATGCAAGTTATCCATGCCCTCTGAGGACATTTCTGAGAACACCTTCACAAGCATCCAGCATCTGACATGTTCTGCCATATGAACAGACATTGAAAAGACAGGTGACCCAAGGCCTGACAGCTCACATTGGTAGCTCTGGCTCAGGTCCCTTCATAATACCTTATATCCAACTCATTTTTCCATTGAGTTAGGAGAGATCAGACTTTCCTCATGTGTCAGCTCGCTGTGGGCCCCAGTGCGTTAAAACATCTCTGGTTATCTCCGTACCTGTAGATGCCCTCCACCAGGATGAGAATCTTCTTCCACGCTCTGCGGATTCGAGGCTGGCCATAGATTACAGCATCTCTCAGGAGCTTCTCTAGGCTTTGCATGTCTTTAAATAATACCAAAAAAGAAACTGAGTCATGAGAAGGTTTTCCTTTTCCTCCCCCATTTTCTTTTTTGAGAAGGCATCAGATTTCTTGGGCTCAGGCTCAGACCCAAACTTTTTCAGAGAGCAAAATCAGAATCAGAGAACACCTGGAGGGAGAGAGAGGCTTATATTTTAGTACAACTTAACTCTGACAAGGTGACTCGTCGGGTTTGTATAGCAGGCAGAATAAACCCCCACTGGAGGTGCATGGTTTCATAGGCTCTTAAAGGCTCTCCTCTTCTGCTTCAGTAGAGATTGAAACACTACATTACATGCATCTTCATGACTTCAGCTTTGTTACCAGGTTAAAATTAACTCGGAGAGATATCATTAACTAACGCCCACCAATTGTTTAGGCACAAGCATGTTAGAGTTTAGTTGAGTTTGTACAGAGTGGTGGACTTGTTGGAGGATGTCGAAGGTCAGGTCTCAAAGTATAGGAAACCTGACCTTCGACATCCTCCACCTTTGGAGGTTTCAGAACTTTAAGTCAGGGGAACAATTAGCACTCCTTTGCAAGTTATTTGGAAGCATCTGGACACATTAGTAAGTGCTCACAATCATTGAGCCCTATCTGCATGCCAGGCAATCTTCTGAGCATATTTTTTGTAAGACCTCTTCTAATCCTGGGATGCCTGGGTGGCTCAGTCGGTTAAGCGTCTGCCTTTGGCTCAGGTCATGTTCCCAGGGTCCTGTGATCGAGTCTTGTATCAGGCTCCTTGCTCAGCGGGGAGCCTGCTTCTCCCTCTGCTTGCAGCTCCCTCTCCTTGTGTTCTCTCTCTCTGACAAACAAATAAATAAAATATTTAAAAAGAGGAAAAGAACTCTTCCAATCCTTACCATGAGCCTAAAGAGGAGGCACCTTCATTTTATGTTTCAGGAAACCAGGGCACAGGAAAATCTGGTAAATCTCCTGAGGTCTATGATAACAACCAGCAGAGCCAGGATTTGAACCCATGCAGTCTTGTACCACAACCCATATTCAGAACCACTACCTTCGAGCTCCATGGTCATGTAGAATAAGGAAGGATGGATGTCTGCTAGAATATTCTTGTTAACTTGTGGTGTCAAATATAATGATAGTGACTTTTCACTTATCTGCAATCACATGTTGATGACTGGGCTTTGGTTGAGAGACCATTGGGAAAGATTGGTCTACATTCCAGCTGTGTGTGTGTGTGTGTGTGTGTGTGTGTGTTTAACCCGCAAAGCCTAGAGAGAGAGATAAAAAGGCATAGGCTTATGTGCATGTTGTTTAGACTCCTCATATTTCTACTGTGTTTCTTTGTACCTCCTGGGTGAGCCCTCCCTTTTTGAGAATCTGAAATCCAAGTACTTTAAAAGGTCTGGAATCTGATTTTAATTTGAAAAGATGGAGATACTACTGAACAGCTGACCTGACTATTACATAATGTTCTCCAGGCATTAGAGACTCCATTAAAAATGCTCACAGGATAAACCTAGCAGAGATAAATCTAAAACAGCACAGTCAATATTGGTTTTGCCACTGCGACAAGAAGCAGGTGTGATAAAGAAACAGCTATTCGTTGGGTTATCACTGGTCTAGGCTCAAGTTAGCTGAGGTTCTTGGCTTCAGTGGAGAGCCCTGAAACTTTGCCTTTGAGTTCCCAATCTGTGGCTGGATCTGTTTTAGGGTTTCCTTATAGTGCTAGTCCTAGTGCATAATATTAGTGCCAAATCAATGTGTGATCATTGAATCGGTTGCCTTCCCATGGAAAAAGGAAGGAGAATAACACTTTGGATCTAAATAGAAGTTATGAGGAAGGATAATTGCCTCATGTCTGCAATCATATTTCTTTAATTACCTGTGCTTTGGGGGTTTGTTTTAAAGACAGGACGACATCTTCTGTCTTCACAGATGGTGTGTTTTATTGACAGGACATCATTACCCACTAGATGGCAGCCAAGGAAACGAAAAGCAGCTTTCTACTTTTGAGAATTTCCGGGATAATAAACCTTCGCCTGTATGGACATTTTGTTTTAGGCTGGGTTCCTAAGATGTTGAAGGAACCCCTGTGATTGAGGGAAACAGCTCCTTTTTCTATAATCTACTGCAGGCCTTTTAGTCTCTGAATGGAATGAAGAGATGATGAATATAAGTATTCCTGTTCAAAGAGTGTTTTTCCTTCTGGGAATTGGAATTTATAAGTTTTTTGTAGAGAAATGATACATGATGAGTGTGGTACCAATGCCAGAGTAATCAAAACAAACCCAAGTGCATGAAACTAGCAGCTATTTAAAAAATGAATATTATGAGATTTTGAAAAATCTGTATATGCAGAGATTATTCTATTGTTTATGCAATCAAATAGGTCACATTCATATTATAGGTTTAACTTGGGATTAGGTTTAAAATGAACACCACTAAGGAAAATAGAAGGTTCTCCCCATTCTTTTAGTAACAAGCAGCACAGAGAACAAGACTTTCAATGGCCATGATGTGTTTCAAGCATTTTGCAGATGGAAGTGAGAGGAATCCCAGTCCCTTCTATGGCAGGGAGCTCATCCTGTTCCACTTGAATAGAGAGTTTCATGGGGATAGGCTTTGGTGAAACTTCACAAAGCCCCTGGTGTCCACACTGAGATTCTTGAGCAGAGGGAAAATCAATCAGCCTTATTTCCCACCTTATTTCCAGTGAGCAGGAACTCACTGGCCTCTTAGAAACACAGAAGCTAGGCAGAGAAGGGGATGACCTCCCTCAGTGTGGGATTCTTGACCCCACAGTGTGTGGGTTACAGACTGGTAGGATTCAGGGGTTTGTGGTTTATGTTCTGCAGGCCTTGTTAGAGTCTCCTGTTCCAGCAGCCACACGCTAACATCTGCAAGGGATTTTTAAGTAATGATGCTTATTAAAGCACTTATATTTGTATTATGTTAATCCTCATGACACCTCTAAGAAGTAGGAAAGAATGATTAGGTTTTTGTTTTCTCTGATGAACAAACCAATGCCAGAAGGTTTGTAAAACCAACCACCCAAAACCAGACCCAAACAAACCAGTTTCTTGTTGATTTATAAAGAAAATTCCGAGATACAGCAATTAAAAGAATATACTTGATGCCATCGAGGCACACATACACCACTACTGTATAATATCATTCTAAACTCATTGCACACTATGGGCTTGTAATTTTGCCACAAGTTTGGGTTTCAGCAATGCCTTCGGCATCATTCACCACCATCTGGCTCACTAAGGTGATTTCCTTTGGTTTATGAAGGGCTGAGAGGAGCTAGCTGGCATGATGGGTGATGAACATTTAGCTATTAAAAATGAAAGCATAAAGGCCACATTCTGGTGATCCGTGCAAAGCAAGTCCTGGTCTGTCACAGGCATGACTAATCAGATTACTGAATTGCTAAATACCTAGAATAATCCAACAATGTGCCAGAAACTATGATCAGGCTTAGGTGACCAATACACTTTGAGAGCCTGTTCCTGAGCCTGTCTTTAAAATTCAAAGCCCCAGTAATATCAGCAAGCTGCTGGAATCTGGGCAAGCTGCAGATAACATTCTGTGAAGAGCAGGCACAAGGAAACAAGGACACCATAATCTTCTCAGAAGGGAGGTTGGCTGTAGTTCAGACTATCTTCCTGAAGAACAGAAGTGGATATTTGGCTTCTTTTCTGACTTTCCAATACAGTGACAACACTTTCTTTTGCCATGGCTTCCTCCTTCCTCTACTCTTGTGCAACTGACCTTCTGTTGAGACATGAGCGCTTCCCTTACTGCCCACCCCTCAATGGCTCTCCCCTCCTCTGGATCCAGGGCCAGTTGTGGTGGCTGTAACGAATATCAGCCTCTACTTTCCATATGCTGCCCGGTGTGGCTGATGGTTCATCCCTCGTCCTTCAAAGCTCGACGAAAACCACCTCCAGGTGCAAATATATGTAGATACACCCTCTGCTTCCCTATTCCATGGGCTGCTCACCAAAAATATTTTCATGCCTGCACACGTATAAGCATCCATCAGATATCTCTGAAGTGAAAGGATGGTTGGATGATAAAGCACTGCTACTTGTTACTTTAAGTCCTTGCTCCCCATCTGTTCCCCCATTCTTATTGTTTCTTTGGAGATGCTCAATTTCATCCTTCAACATTGAGCCGGAATGTGAAATATTAAGCAATATTACTTAAGTAACTGTGAATGATGATAAATAAATTATTCTTACTTTTAAGATGGTGATGGGGGACATGTGCCTTGTTTAGACTTTGGGGAAAAGCATAATCATAATGGCTAACTCTGGTAAGCAAAGTAAATGTTTTTCTCAAAGTCACATTTATAGAGTCTCTTCCCCATGAGATCAATGAGGGAATTTCTGATGCATTGAAAATTTGGTATATTAAGTTTTACGGTTTGGGTAAATACTTTGGTTCAGATTTTCTTGATAGCTCTGTCAGTATGTGAGCAGGTGTTGCATGGCCTTTGGGCAGGTTTGCAAGAAGCAAGGTGATCTCCTTGCAAGAGTGCAAAGGCAACAAAATAGGTCACACACATATTACAGGTTTAGCCTGGGATTAGGTTTAAAATGAACATCAAGCTGATTTGAGGGTGAGGCAGTTGCTAGGGGGCAGGGCCTGTGTACTGGGGGAGGGGATCATACCAGCAACTTCTGACCTTGGGGACAGGAGATAAAGGACAGGCAGAGCCCAAAGCATGGGAACAGAGTGTCCGCAGGCTCTGGCCCAGTGCAGTGTGTAGGGTTCTGCTTCTATGGGAGGAATTAAACACGTACTGAATTGGGATCCCTAAACACTTGAGGTCAATGCAGGAAGGTGAGATGTGATTCGGGGAATGATGTGGGGGCTCAGAAGTCAGTGTTGGGATCCTGCGTCTCAGGTCAAGGGCAACCAGAGTGAACCCTGGCTGCATCTGCCTAACCCAAGTGCCCTGCTCAAGGAGAGTTGCATGGGAGAGGGAGAGGGAAGCTCCTGCATTTCA